TGGTTCACTATTTCTTTTTTTGTCTTTTTCTTCTTTTGACAGGCAGAGTGGACAGTGAGAGAGAGACAGAGAGAAAGGTCTTCCTTTTGCCGTTGGTTCACCCTCCAATGGCCGCCGCGGCCGGCGCGCTGTGGCTGGCACACCGCGCTGATCCGATGGCAGGAGCCAGGAGCCAGGTGCTTTTCCTGGTCTCCCATGGGGTGCAGGGCCCAAGCACCTGGGCCATCCTCCACTGCACTCCCTGGCCACAGCAGAGGGCTGGCCTGGAAGAGGGGCAACCGGGACAGAATCCGGCGCCCCAACCGGGACTAGAACCCGGTGTGCCGGTGCCGCTAGGTGGAGGATTAGCCTAGTGAGCCGCGGCACCGGCCTTCACTATTTCTGAAGTTTAGTTCCCTTATAGGCAGACTAAAAACAATCAATATTTGTAAGTGGTTGGGAGCAATCCATGAAACAGTGGGTGTCTGGCATAGAAGGCAGTGCCTGGCACTTGGGGGTCTTGGCTCCCTCTTTCTCTCTGTCCCCAACTTGCTCAGTGTTGCTGGGGCCTCTACGAGAACAGAGGCCACAAGTCCTGGCCCGACGATGACAAATCAGAGAGGATCGTCTTCCACGGAGCGCTCTGCAGGTCTGCACGTGGCACTGGAAGTTGTTACTGTGTTTATTCCGGGCTAAACGACAAGCCTAATTTGATTTTTACCTCTCTGATCTGCCCTAGGGAGCCTTGGGTATTGTGCTCAGAGTTCAGCAATAAGAGAAAAGAAACGGGGCTCCCGGGGCCCCTGCTAGTCCAGAGCCCCTTAAGTGCTCCTGTTTTTCCATTTGAGCCCGAGGGAGTCCATCGAGGTGTGGCTCATAGGCAATGCTGGGGTGGAAGCTCACATTCTCCCTGCATCAGGAAGTCCTGGAAGCAGCCCAGGAGGGTGAGGCCCCAAGGGCATGGCTGCTGGGGAGAGGTGCCAGTCATCCCTGAAGCCGGCCATGGTGTCCTGGCCCCAGAGCTTGGAAACTGATCAGCCCCTCCTTCGTTTTGCATCCAAACCTTAAAACACACAACCCACTAGGGACTGGCTCAGCAAATGGGAAAAGGACAATGGAACCACGGTCCGGATTATTGACTAATTTTCCATTTTGGACTGGGCAGCATTCCGGACCACTTTCTCCATGGCAGTTAACCAGAGAGTGCTGAGGGCCTCCTGCCTGCCTCCCGGTACAGGCTCCAAAGTTGCACTCGGCTTCCCACAGCAGGTCGTGGGCCGGGGTCTGAGCCACACACACTCTCACCCAGAGCTGTGATGTACCAGAAGGGGGCGTGGCTTCTGGGAAGGCAGCGAGCATTGCGTCATTTGTCCCGATCAGCGGAAGGTCCCTGAGATCTCTCTCACTCGCACTGTGTTTTCTTGGCTTTCCCTGGCGGCTACAGCGAGGGTGTGCCGCTGGGGCCTCATTACTGCCGGTTTGCAAAGCATCCGGAGAAGCCACGATCCAAGCTCAGAGGAGGGAGCCCAGCACGGCCTGGCCTGGGATCTTTTGGGAACGTGGCATCCTGAGGCCTAAAGGGCTGCCTGGGCACTATGGGCCCTGCTGTGGGGCATGCCTGGGTGAGGAGAAACAGGGTGAGGGAGAAGTCCTGCGGGGCCGCCATGTGGGAGTTGGGAAGACACAAATTGGCCATTGTGCTGAGCATGGCTGCCAAGGCTGTGTGAGATGGCCGCAGGTGGCCGCCCACTGAAGAACAGTACCCGCTAACGCCGTGCGAGTTGGCACCTGGGCCAAGTGCTGGTCTCAAAGCTTTAGCTGCATCAGCTCATGTAGGCCTCACTGCAGCTCTGTGAAATAGCTACTGGTGTCAACTCCACCAGACTGGAGTGTAAACTGGAGCCAGGCGGCGGCCCAGGGTGGGGACCCTGGCCTTCTGGCCCTGGGAAGATGCCATTAGCCACTCGACAGGCCGCCTAGGAAGGACAAAGGAGGTGATGGGTGTCCTGGTGGGCTATGAGGAGCCTGCAAGGAAGGGCATGCTGGCTGCCCTGGGAGCTGTCACACCGCATCGAGCAGGAATGTCTTTATCCACGTGATTGATGCCCACGTCCTCGCCGTGACTCAGATTTTTATTGGATAGGAATAGCACTTAGTGGTGGTAGAAGTAGTAATGGCTTTCATTGAGAGCTCACTCTGCCATTAATTGTGCTAATTGGTTTCCTTGCAATATCACATTTAATCCCCACAACCGCACTGTCTGATTGGGATGGTACTTGTACACTTGTCCAGATGTGAAGGCACTCGGGCTCAGAAGGGTTAAATAACATGCCCAAAGCTACTGCTTATGAATAAGAGAGCTGGGACTCCGCTCGAGAGCACCTGGCCCCAGGAGCCACACTCCTAATGAGCGGGTAGGCTGGCTGTGTTGCCTTTCATCTCGGCTGCAGGGTTACACGAGCCTGGGAGGCATCTGGGCCTGGGCCCAGGGCCCTGTGCAGAAGTCTCATGGTCTCAGAGAGGGTGTGCAGGTAGGTGCACTGGGGCCACCCCCGACCCGGCTCCTGCGACGTCTTCCACAGGGATGCGGAGATGTGGGCCCTCCCCCTGTAAATACGGGCTGTGATCTGGGGAGTTCCCTCAGCTGCCAGGCAGACAGCATCCAGACGCGAGCACACATATCCTCTACAGTAAGGAAAGGCAAGCGATATTTCGTTTAGTTTGTTTTGTTCCACATTTGCAAAGCTGAAGTAACAGTCCTACAGGGAAGGCAAAGTACTTCAGCACGGGCTACTTGTCACAAAACCCAAGGTTCCTGGGCATGCAAACGAGCAGATGACGTAATCATATCTGCATTTATCCTTCTGATTCAAATGTTCCAATGCAACTGCTACTGGGGGAGCTCTTGTGAAGAGAGGCAGAACTGGGCAGAAAAGTGAGGCCTGCTGCAGCAGAGTTTACAGTAATAGAGATGGGGACAACACAAATGACCATCTGACCCAGCATTTATGATTAAACAAGTCATAGTCATATACAATAGCTTAAAAACACGGGGTAGTCGTAGATCTATACCTTCTACTGAGCTTACTAAATAACTGTTAAGTTGAAAAAAAAAGTCAGTGGACAATAATTCTAGAATTATCTCATTTGTATTGAAATAAACAACCGCGTGCCCATCCTCAATAGAAGGTGCATGGCTCCCATGGTTATGTTTAGGAAGGGGGTGGGAGTATGGGTTTTCCCATTTTTCTGCATATTTTATATGGTGATTGATATGTGTGTTAAGAATTTATATCTGGCCAAAACAGAAAAATAATATTATATATATATAAAATATTGAAGATGTGTAATAATGAAGACATATAGTATAACACAAACCACACTTCAAAGATTTTGCACTTGAAGTAATCCAGAGTGGACCAGTGGCCACCTGGCTACAGATACACTTTCCCCATGTGGTTTTCATGTCCTGGCCCAGTCCCCCTCCCTCAAGACCAGCCAGAGTTTCAGTATGGCCTCTATGGATTTGAACAGCATCCTAAGCCACAAGAGGCATTTACTAGGAATTGATGTCAAGTCTGCTACTTCATTTCTTAAAAACATTAATTACACAAGTGTGCTTAAAGATGCAGCTGGCTATCAAATCCAGTGTTACAAGATGAAGACTGTAATTGATCATAATCTTAGTTGACTGGATATTTTAACAGTGGGATGCCAAGATTTAAAAATAGGCCAAAAAATGTAGCTTGCATTAAAAGCAACACTGAGTGTGATGGGGAATAAGTGCATCCCTCTGGGCTGGGTAGGATGTCACCTTGGGACATTGTGTTCAGTATCAGGCACATACATAGACAGGCATATTGAAAAGCAGCGTTGTCCGGAAGGTACAGATAAGCTGGCTAAAATGCTAGAAACCAAGCTACTCAAGCAATGACTGCAGAAACCACAGTACTTCTTTCATTGATGGAGGCATAGCTCAGAGGCAACACAAGAGCTATCTTCAATCACATTCCATGCCTGAAAGGAGAGTGTCTTGATTCATGTCACTCCAAGGTTCAGGAGACAAGAAGGTTCACTCCAGATTTTGTCTTAAGATTGAGGAGCCCCTCCTAACATCCAGAGCTTTTTAATCAAAGAAATCAAAGTAATAGACCAGACCGCAGCTGAGGAGTGACCACTTCAGGATAAAGGGGGAAAATGTTACTAGGAGTCAACAGGTCCAAAAGCTGGTGCATAATCACCCAGCCCTCATGCTCTGATTGGGACTGCAAAGGGAAGAACAGTCACCTATGCCATTTATTTTTATTATTTTTATTTTTGACAGGCAGAGTGCACAGTGAGAGAGAGAGAGAGAGAGAGAGAGAGAAAGATCTTCCTTTACCATTGGTTCACCCCTCAATGGCCACTGTGGCTGGCGTGCTGCGGCCGGCGAACCACGCTAATCTAAGGCTAGGAGCCAGGTGCCTCTCCTGGTCTCCCATGCAGGTGCAGGGCCCAAGCACTTGGGCCATCCTCCACTGCACTCCCGGGCCACAGCAGAGAGCTGGACAGGAAGAGGGGCAACTGGGACAGAATCCGGCGCCCCGACTGGGACTAGAACTCAGGGTGCTGGTGCCGCAGGCGGAGGATTAGCCTATTGAGCCATGGCGCTGACCACCTATGCCATTTAACTCAAATTCTTATCTCACATTCTGGAGATGACTACAGGTTTTGATTTGAACTTTTGTCCCTTTGTGGAAAGAGATAAAACCCTATGAAGAAACACAGATGAACACCAAAAACTAAGAGGCTAGTGAGGACAGCAAGCACTGGGATCTGGATCTTCCACCGAGAACTGTGTGAGACCTGAAGGCTGCTCCAATCAGCATCCCCGTGGCGAGATGTGGTGCAGCCAAGCCCAGATGCCTATTCTGTCATGGGGCAGGGGGGTGGGGGCACAGTGGGTACTTTACCTGTTGTTTCTAGTATTTTTTTGTTTTGGTAACCCGGTAAATGTCTATTTTAAAAATGGTCAATTTCAGGAACTAGAGGTGTGGTGGCAGGCGGCCAGAGAACAAGTGTGCAACAGCAACTATCGACCTTGGCATCCTTTCCTTCCCATACAGTCATCGTGCTTGGTAACAGCTTCACTCCGCGAATACCAAGAAAGAGGGACTGACCCACTGGCTGAGACCTGACCAAGGTCGTCGTTGAGCCCCAGGCAAGGTATTTGGCTCTTTCTTTTTCTTAGCTGCTCTGTCGCCCACACCCTGCGTCTTATGTCCTCGTCCTCCTGCTCGCTCCCTCTCTGCCCTGGGTCCTCACTCTTCCACAGCAGAGCAAACGAGAAAGAGGATGGCAGAGAGGGGGGCTCTCGTGAGCAGAATGGCGCTCTCAGGGGGATGCTGGCGTGAGGAGACAGGCAGGGACCCTGGGAAAGGGACAGGAGAGGTTGAGAGAGAAGAAAGGAGGATGAACGATGAAGCAAGGGGGAGAACAAAGGCCCAGAAAGCAAGAAACCCAAGGAAAGATGAAGAGGCAGAGAAGAGGGATGCATGCCGGGAAATGCCACTCAGAGCATGGCACCATGGGAACCAGAAATGGGGCATATGAAACCTTGCGTGAAAGACGCCCTTAGCACAGGGACAGAGGAAAAGAAAGCGCAGGACACTGTTTATTGATTAAGCACTTCTACTGGCAAATGGCATTTGACGATAGAATCATTGGAACCACGCAAAGAGCAAGGCGGCCGGAGTAGGCGAGTGAACTGACACGCAGCGCTGAGACTGCAGGGCGGCACGGTTTTTCTTATCCTCCCCTGAACTCCAAGGGCAACAATAAATATCGGATGGAGGACACTGAATGACGCATCAGTCCTTTTCCTGGTCCTTTAACACAGAAAGCATTCAACAAGCTGAGAGGACAGTGTCAACTCAGAACGTTATGACGGTCTTTCTTATCTCTGTATCTTTAACCTTTAATTTTTGTATAACTTCAGATGCCCGGAGGAGTTGCAAGAATAGCACAAAGAACTCTCATTTATGGAGCTTCCCCTGTGAATTCCTCACCCTGCGGGCTTCATCCTCCTGCAGCCGCTCCTCTCATTCTCTTTCTCCCTCTTCTCTGTCCCAGCTCTTCTCTACTTTTTCCTTGAATCATCTGAGTGTAAGTCGCAAATGGTGATGCTCCTTTACCTCTAAATCCCAATGGCAGCATCTGAGTGGGAAAGTAGGATAGTATGGTGTAGCTCTGGTGTTCAGGACCCCAGACCACAGAAAGATCTTAGCGGGGCAATCAGGATGGAAGGGGAGGGGAGCTCAGGAACCTGTTTTAAACTAAATTGACTTAGCAAATGCCCATCTTTTCTTAGATTTACTTAGATCAGTAAAAATAGCCAAAATTTCCAAAATACCTTCCAGTAACACTTTATGTAAGATTGAGAAAAACATTAACTGTCTAGAGCAAATCATGTTAATGGGAGTGGGATGCCTACAGGAACTAACATTTCTAGTTGCTTCTATTCCATCCAATAAATCGGGGGACCAACCCTGCTTAACACAAAAATGGCGAATTTAGAGAGTTCTGGTTAGCATGCAAAATGCTTCATCAACTCTAAGACACAACATCTTAACATTTTAACAGCTCTGGAACTTGAATGGCTCACAATCAATGCCACCATTACAATAGCCAGTTTTGTACAATTAGCACATAAAATAATGGCACATCCTATAAATGATGGCTTCTGAGCATAGCTCTGTGGATCACAGCCTGTGGTTAACAGGAAGAGGAAAGCAGAAGCAAGTCAGGCAAGGCACGGGGTTTGGTATCAGCTCCTAGGGATCCTCTCTACTTCCCACACACTGTATGCAATCTCCTATGACTCCCAGCTCTGTCATACCTTCAGTCGCCTTAGACACGTGGTGTTTCTCTTTATACCTCTTCCTCCCGCCTGCCAGCATGCCTTTAATGGTGGATGCCTGCCCATCCCCACATCAAGGGCTTTCCAGAGATGACTGCTTCTACTCAACTCTCAGTGCACCTACGTCTGGAGGGAGGCGGGAGAGCACAGGACTCACCCATCAAAATCAATATGGGGGTCATGCTAGAAAGCGGAATTCCAGCCTGCTAACAGAGGGATGGTGCTTTCTTGACTACCGGTTCCCAGAGCAACACATCTATCTCCTGATTTTAATAATAATAATAATAATAGGTTTGGACTATCTTCCAAACCAAATATAGCAATGGCAGAAATGCACACCCTGGAGTGGACTGCGGTGGCTCGATGGCTTCCTAGCATTTCACCCATCTCTCTTTTTCTGCTCTCAGAACCATCCCTTGGCTACAATGTGGACCTGGCACCAACGTGGCCCCCTGCAGTCCTTCTAGGGGCTTGAAGTAGTTAATCTGAGGGTGCCCATGGCCAGCTTCCGCGGGAGTGATGGCAGAAGAAAGCCTGAGCAACGGCCGGCAGAGATGGAGAGCAGGTGGCAGAGCCCTGCCCGGGTCTCTCCAGCCGGTGATGTACCACAGCTGCCCTTCACTGTCACATGAGCTACTGCATTTCCTCCTGCTGCAACAAACTTCAGCTGTTGCAATCAGTACAGGAATTCTAAACCTCTATTTTAAAGCATCCGTCTAGCTTAGCTGTTCTCTTTGGAAGTTATTTGCAGCAAACAAGTCAAGTTTGAGATCTGGGAGGATCCCCATAGGATGCAATCCCCACACCCTATCTTGCTACTGGAAGGAGCTTCCTGCGTCTCGGAGCCCTGCTTTGGTGGAGCAGTTGTAACTATTAAGAGGTCTGATGCGCAGTCTCACTTCCGGAAGGCTGCACCTCCAGGGGCTCCGGACTACAACGCGGGCGACTTTGGATCTATCCAAAGTCTTCATCAGGTACCTGATGGGCCCTCCAACGAGGTCCGCACCAGAGAGCCCAGAAAAAGCCTCAGGGGTCTGAAGACGTGCCGGTGGCCCGCAGTTTTGGCTTGCTGTAACCGTCAAGGGCCTGTCTTTCTGACAGCCTGCGCCCAACTGGTTCCTCTTCATTTTCGGGCGTGTCTGGGAACAAAAAGCCCAGCGCAAGAAGCATAGCTTGGAGGCTGCAGCTGGGCTACCTGCTGTTTATTTCCTCCGGCACGAACGAGCGAGCGTGAGAGCTCTGGCTCCACCTCTTGAGAGCTGCGTGACGAGGACTCAGCCACATACCTTCTCTGAACCCGGGTTTCCTAGCTGTAAACGGGGCCATAATAAATGGCCTGGGTTCGGAGCACGGGTGGAGTTCAAAGTAGAGGGTTGTTCCGTCGTTAACAAGCAACTTTTACATTTACCCTCGATGACCCCAGAAGCCTGCAGGTGCGAGCACTTGCGACCAGGCTAATCGAATGCCTCCCGCCTCTTTCCCTGCTCCCCCTTGCCCCCAGCCTCGCGGAGATCACCGATTTTTCAGGGGTCTTGCAAATGCGGTGCTAAGCACCAGCCGAAAAGAGAGGGCACGGCGGGCAGGAAGACAACCGTGTGCCAAGCGCCCCTGGCGTCCCTTTGGGAAGGAAGCGCCCCGCCCCGAGCGCACGCACTCCGCGAACGCGCAGAGAGAGCCCTGCGTGCGGAGGGTGCACCGTGCGCTCCCCGCCCGGCCAGCTGGTGGGAGCCGGGGGCTCGCTTCGCGGGCCGGCCGGGCGCGGCAGTGCGTGCGCCGACTAGGGCGGTGGCGGCCGGCACCCCGCCCTCGGCCGCCGTCCCAGTCGCCGCCTCGGCGTGTCAGGTGCCGTGAGAAGCGCCCAGGGATATGACTGCTGCCGACTTCCCAGAAGCGGCGCACGCAAGGCACAGCTCCGCACGCAAAGGGGAGGTGACAGCAGGGGAAACTTTTCAACCCGATCAAGTTCGCAGGCGCACGGAGGCTGGCCTCCGCCTCCCACCCGCCGCCCTCCCTCCCGTCCCCTCACCCTCATTCTCCTATTCGCCCCAGTTTGGCTCCCCGCCCTGCGCCGACAGCCTCGCGGCGGGCGGCGCCATCTGGAGTCGCAGCCCCGCGGGCGGGAAACGTCAGGACCCGCTCGCGCCGGGAGGGTGCTGGCCCCGGGGCGGGAAGCGGCTCTACTTTAGGGGAGTCCTGATCTCGTTGCCAGAGGTGCAGAGAGAACCTTGCAAGTCACAGGGCCACGAGTAGGGGTGCCGATTTGTTTGCGAAAACCTAAATAAAGTAAAATAAAAAGGGGCTCTGCGCGGCTAGGCACCATCACCACCACGCAAGCTTTCCTCATTTGCACACCGCAGGTTTCCGTTCCCGGCTCGGGAGCCCAAGCAACGTGCGCCGCTTTCTCGCGGGCAACGAAGCTCAAGTCTCTGGGAGGGAAGGGAGATAGTGGGCGGCGGCGCGGGGGCCGATTCCCACCCCGAGCGCCGCTGCAGGGCCAGCTTCTGTCCCCAGCGGGGCTCTGGGGCAAAACGTGGGGCCTCGGGGCCGGGGGGGGTGGGGGAGGACTGATTAAGAGTCATTGTTGGCCCAGCGAAGAGTTCACACCGCCGCTTCCAGGAAAGCCGCCAGCTACGGCGCCAAGGTCTTCGGGGGCGCCTCGTGGGACCACCGGAGTCGGAGTCGCAGCGGCGGGGACTTTGGCAGCGCGGCCCGCCCCCCGCTGGCCCCGCCCCGGCCAGGTCCTGCTTCCTCCTCCTCCGTGCAGTCCTTAAAGCCCGGAGCAGCGGATGGCGCGTGCCGAGTCTCCGGAGCGCGCGCAAACACCCCCGCGACACCAGCTGTGGGAGCGGCGCAGCGGATGAGAGCGCTGGGAACTGACTCCACTCATCGACCCCCAGTCTCAATCCCAACGCTCTGAGGAAAGCCCGACGTTGCCCGAGCCCCAGGTGCAGAGGGACTCGGCAAAGGAGGCACCTTTTTCCGTCCCCATCCCTAGCCAAGCGTTCTTGCCTCTGCCGACTCCAGAGTGGGTGTTAAGGCTCCCGGAGCGGGCAGCAGGTGTCCAGGGCTGGCCTCCAGGGTTCCTGGAGACTCTCGGGTGGACGTCTTGCCCTCGGCAAAGGTCCCAGCCCTTTCTCGGAGCCGGCTGTCCCGCGCCGCAGGAAACCGCACCTTCCCGCAGGTCAGTCTGTCCGCGGAACCGCCTTCCCACGGCCTCCGCAGATGGGTTCTTGCAGGTCACAGGTGGGGCGGTAGGCACTTTGAAAGACACCCAGCGCTACCGCCTCAAGGCCTCTGGCGTTGTCCCTGAATCGCAGGAACCGTTAGGAGGCGGGTGGGGTGGAGGTAGGAGGGGGGGCTGGAGCTGGGTCGCGGAGTGGCCAAAACACGCTCCTTCCCATCCCCTTGGGAGACTGGAGATGGGAAAGGGCAGCTTCTGTCACCCCTTTAGAGAGCCCTGCCCTGCGCAGCTCTCCTTTCCACCCGGGGACGCAAAGTAGCGGAGGCTGCGGAAGGGGCTGGGGCCTTTCTCTGCACACCTGAGTGTCACCTCTTCGTCTTTGTGTCCCCAGCATGGTCACCAGCCTCAGCCCGGACGCGCCTCTGCTGCTGAACTCGCTGTCCTCCCAGCAGACCATGCTCCTGTTAGTCTTGTCGGTGCTGGCCGCCGTGCACGTGGGCCAGTGGCTGCTGAGGCAGCGACGGCGACAGCCCCTGTCGGCGCCCCCCGGCCCCTTCCAGTGGCCCCTGATCGGAAACGCGGCGGCGGTGGGCCGGGCGGCGCACCTCTCCTTCGCGCGCTTGGCCCGGCGCTACGGCGACGTCTTCCAGATCCGCCTGGGCAGCTGCCCGGTGGTGGTGCTGAACGGCGAGCGCGCCATCCACCAGGCCTTGGTGCAGCAGGGCGCCACCTTCGCCGACCGGCCGCCCTTCGCTTCCTTCCGCGTGGTGTCCGGCGGCCGCAGCCTGGCCTTCGGCCACTACTCGGAGCACTGGAAGGTGCAGCGGCGGGCGGCGCACGGCACCATGCGTGCCTTCTCCACGCGCCAGCCGCGCAGCCGCAGCATCCTCGAGGGCCATGTGCTGGGCGAGGCGCGCGAGTTGGTGGCGCTGCTGGTGCGCGGCAGCGCGGGCGGCGCCTTCCTCGACCCGAGGCAGCCGACCATCGTGGCCGTGGCCAACGTCATGAGCGCCGTGTGCTTCGGCTGCCGCTACAGCCACGACGACGCCGAGTTCCTGGAGCTGCTCAGCCACAACGAGGAGTTCGGGCGCACGGTGGGCGCGGGCAGCCTGGTGGACGTGCTGCCCTGGCTGCAGCGCTTCCCCAACCCGCTGCGCACCACCTTCCGCCAGTTCGAGCGGGTCAACCGCAACTTCAGCAACTTCATCCTCGACAAGTTCCTGCGGCACCGCGAAAGCCTCCGGCCCGGCGCCGCCCCGCGCGACATGATGGATGCCTTCATCCTCTCGGCGGGAAAAGCTGAGGGAGACTCAGGCGAAGGGGGCGCGCGGCTCGACTTGGAGAGCGTGCCCGCCACGGTCACGGACATCTTCGGCGCCAGCCAGGACACGCTCTCCACTGCGCTCCAGTGGCTGCTCCTCATCCTCACCAGGTAAAGCTTCCAGGAGGCATGGGTCGGGCCTTCCATTTGTCCTCCGAAATTGACTGATTGGGGCTTGAAAATGCGTAGGGCGCTAGGGTTTAGACCTTCGCTCCGGGTCCCTGCCGGGCAACCCTGATTGCGTGCCCAGGAGCGCACAGTGCGGGCCCGGACAGGCGCGCGCACAGGCGCGCACCCCTCCCCGCGCGGCCTGGCCCTCCCCATCTCTGATCTTGTCCCACCTGGCTTACGTCTCCCTCTTGTGAGTAGAAACACATTTGAGAGAACGCCCGCCCCCAACCCCCCGGAACAGCAACGTATTTAGAGGGCCGGTAGATAGCTGTCTTTCCCTGGCGCAATAATAGCAAAGCTGGAACAGTTCCGAAGGACAGGGAAGCGCAGTAAAAATGTTAAATAAACACAGCAGTAGCCTAATCGGCTCGCGTAGTCCTTGGCGCGCAGCGGAGGCCGCCCAGCCCTCCGCGCTTTAGAGCGAGCGGCGGCTCGGGACTTTGTTCCCGGGTAAGGGAAAGGCCCGCCCGCGGGCGGGTACCCGGCGCTGGAGCTGTCGGAAGGCGGCCAGGAAGCAGCCGGCAGTGAGCGCAGGAGAAACAGACACTTTCGCCGAGAGCAGAGCAGCGTCGAGAAAGAACGCGGGGTGTCCAGAGGGCTCCTGCGGACGTCGCTGGCATCTGCCCCAGCCTTGGTGAGCGGGCCCCAGTGCCCACCTTGATAAAGGCTCCACCACCCTCCGATGCGCACGAATTAAACTGGCCCTGGTGTCGGGGTTGCCAGATTGAGCAATTAAAAAAAAAACAATTTTACATGGGGGCATCCTTACCCTAAAGGATGGCCCACTGCTGATCCGAAATTCCTATTCAAGTGGACGGCCTCAGTTTGACCCGGAAACCTTATCCCAGCGGGCAAATGTCGCGCTCCAGGCAAATCTCCGTGGCTCCAGAGACCAGATATGCTGGTTGTGCCAATTCTTGGCGCACGTGGAGGCCCCCGGGCACGCTGCAGATGCTGGCGCCTCAGTATGTGGAAGGCAGAGGCAGCTGCTTTCCCTGACCGGACTTCACAGCAACCTGAATTTCTTTAGATATTGTACAGCTGTCGTCTCGTTAAAATAGGTCCTCTAACATGGCTTGTGAAGATGGTGGAACACGTCTTTGGAGGAGAGACGGGGAGACCAACAGAGGGGAGGGCTACCAGGGACCAGGGGACTGGCACCCTCCGGGCACACCTGCAAGCAGACTTGCTTTCTTTTCCCTAAGGAAGCAGCGTTTCTAATGGTTCTCCCTTCCCCGCACTCTGCGGCCAGACGGAATGGAACAGTTTGGGGTCCCCTTTCCATTCCACACGGCCCATCTCCTCTCTCCTTTGTAGTGGAAAGGCAACGCAGCAGGGCTTGGCCGGTGGCACTCCCTGTTCTTGGACACACGTTTTGTAGAAACACGGCCATGTGGGTTCGGTGGGGGCTTTCCTGTGGCTGAGTCCTCACTGCCATGCCAGGCAGCGCAGGGGTTGTGACCAAGAGGGCTTGCTGGTTTAGGCTGAGATGCTTACTCCCAGGCCTTGCATGGAAACGGCTGGCAGATCCCTGCAGGATGAGGCTGAAGAGGCAACTTTACAACTGCATCATATACACGCCTGTATTTCCCCCCCTAGAGTTCCAATTGTTACCTTTTCTTTAAAATTTTCGACACTTCTACTTCTTGTGGTGGATGTTTCCCCATCTTTTAACATTTATCTTTTACTTTTGGATGGCTCTCTGTTGCCATAACAACATAATCATTTCTTGGGCTTCGGCATTGCTCATTGGCCTTGACTGTCTTTCTTAATTGTGAGCTAGTGTGGTTATAGAAAATTGTAGGGCATGGGTTGCTGGGTTTAAAACAGGATGGGAAATGGCAACTTCATGCATCCCGCTTTGTACTAAGATTTTGTTTTCCAAAGGATTGTACCAGTTTGTTGTACACATCAGAAGTGTGTATGTGTTAATTATAATCATACAAATATTGGGAATTGGCTTGTCTATTAGGATCCCAGTTATCTTTCTATAAAATGAGACCAGGTAGTTGTTCAAGAAAACAAGGAGAAAAAAAAAAAAAAAAAGAGGGGGCAGAGGGACTGGTTCTGGGCTGCATTTTAACTTTGATGGATCCTCTGGCCTTTCTAGATGCCTTACAATGTAAAGTATAATTACAAATAAAATTTTATGAGCACGTGAGTCCAAAGGTGAAGACATTAACATTATGTAATAAAATGTATTCTAAGGGTTTGAAGATGTGAAAACATTTCTGTGGGCTCCTAAAATGTATCCCGAGCCCAATTTGGCCTAGTCTATTATTGTAGGTTTTTAGACTGAGAAAATAGAA